CTGAAATAGCAATATTATAATCAATATAGGGACAAAAAGTGTGTGAATTTCACAAAATCTAATTCATATGAATTTTAATGTTTCATAGCCATTATACTATCTTTCTACAGAGTGTTTTTGTTTGTTTATATTATTTCTTCATAGGATTTTTGAGTGTTGATATTTGAAAAAAAAAAACATTTTATAAAATATTTCCGATTCTGATGAAATTTTATGTAACGATTTGTCTGATTAAAATTAAATATTTACTAAATTTGATTATAAAGTCACTCTTTGTAACTCATTGAGATTATTCTAAGAAAAAAATTCTATTTTATTCTAAAAACGGACGATTTTTGACTTATTTCTCCATTTTTAACTTATATTAAGACTGCTAGCAAACAGCATATATTTTCCCAGGAGATTTTTCCTGGACTTTTCCTGCGGACTTTTTCCCCGGAGTTTCTACCATTTTAAATATATAAAATACAGGAGAAATTTTGACTTTAATATAGTAGTCTATCAAATTGAAATTAGATATAAAGAGTGTCCCAAAAGTAACGCAGGATTTGAAATGTGCGTTATTTTCATTCCGAAGAGTTGACAGTATTGTGCTGGATCCATATGTTATAGTAAACACCTTGCAGTTAGACAAAATAGAACGCTATACGACGGATGAGCAAGAGAAGATTGTGAAAATGTGTTACAAGTACGGAGAGTGTGTAGCTGAGACTGTGCGAAAGTTATGTTAATTTTCGCCCCGAATGAAACAACTAAGAAAAGATTAGTTGCCAAATTTGAACAAACAGTCTGGATTGTAGACAATAAAAAAACAGGCCAGCCTCGTACTAGCTGTTTTTATTAATGCTATTTGGGCATGTATTTATTCATCATTAAATTTCGCAACTTTGCTCTTAGTTGACCAACATTATATTTCTTTAAATAACTGAAGCCGAATTGTAAAAATCTAGAAATCAAACACTCGATATGTNACATAAAACATTCCATATCTCCGCAACCGTTACTTTGCGGACCCATGTTTATTGAGACTTTTCTGCTTATTTTGGTTCATACTATTACCTCCTTAAATATTTTACACTCTTTTTTAACACCCTGTGGTTTGTCGAAATTGCTTTTTTCCCTAGGGAGGTGTGCACGTGCACAAGATGCACAATGTCGGCTTACATTTATGGTTAATTTTCTCGAAAACAGAAGCATTTAGGTCATCAGTTGCTTCAATAAAAGTTGCTCATTTGCCCTCTTACAGCCTTTTCCAAGAACGCTTCTATTTCAGATGGTCCTGGTGGTCATGGTACATACGTAGTATGTTATTTGATTTTGTAGAAGGAAGGCAAATCGGTTAGGTACGGAAAAACTGGGCTCGCCCCCGTTCCCCGCCCTCCGGCACCAGGACCGCTGCTAACCAAACACGAAGACGGTTTATAAGGACGGCAGCAGCCACTGATCATTCCTCTTTATGGCTCGTTACGCTAATGTCCCGCATAAAGTTATAATGTAAGCACACTTATGGGAATAGAACTAACTGTGGGCACGCCGCCCCGACTTTGTTCCAGGATAGACACCAAGCGCATATAAATTGGCAATTATTGCATATCAACGTACGTATGTAAAATGAATATGTTGAGCGTAAATTAAATTTCCGTTTTGGAGAGCGGCTACTGCTGATTTATAGCCGGAGCTCTCGGTGTCCTGCACGGCTTGGCTCCGGACTATGGTCGATGGTCAACAAATACCGGCAGATTTATTGCTGGGCTGTTAATTGAAAACGTCCCGGGCCGTATTTAAATTGTGTCAACCGGGTCGCGAGTGCGGTGGAAATGCAGTCATTGTTCAGTCTTCCAGAAGGCTCCATTAAAATTTTAATGCGAAATACAGGCCGTCGGACGCTAAAAAATTGAATGGCGGATTGTAGAGGTAAAAACTTGGCTTATTTTTCCTATGAACATATGTAAAAAAAGTAAGATTTCCTCGCAACTCTTTAGCGATAAGTCAAAATTGAACCCAAATTTGTGAGATTTTAGGTATGCTTTACATAATTCCGAATCTAGGAAAAAAAAATTAAAATTGAAAGGTGTTTGCTGCTTTTTAATTATATTCAAAGAGAAAACGACTGTTTACAGTTTTAATATCGAAAATATTTAACAAATCGGTAGTATAACGCTAAAGGTTAGGAGAAAATGTAGAATCTAATCGTGTATGGGGGCTATAAATCTTCAAAGTGTAACAAATGTTTGATCACTGCCGCTGGGCGCGGGGGTGATTCGATCGGAGCGATTTTGGTGTCGTTGTCCAGGTTGGGCCTTTCTGCTGACTCTCTACCTGTTTTTATAAGACTCTGTCGATGTCTGTGTACTATAAGTAAACTTGTAAGATCTAAATTCAATATATGAAGTTTCAAAGACAAAATGGGAAAATTTTTTGTCAACTGAAACGATTAAAACACTGCCCAGGTAGACGAACATTTCTTCAATGAACCTTTCAATTTTATTAATGACACTAATGCATCAGTTAGAAAAGTTTGAAAGGAATGTATCACGTGACACTACTATTTTATATGTACTAGCTGTGGTTCTATGTTCCTAAAAATTATTGTTACATATATTTTAATGACATGTTATATTTCTAGATTTAGAATATTAGGTTCTATCTCAATATTAAATATATATTTGTATATGTTGTTATAGTCTTTCAGATATCAATTGAAGAACCAAGAGGATGACAGTATGTAACTCGGCATTGAATTATTTGAAAAACTTGTTCCCATATTTATTTAGCCATACCCATATACAAATCTGGTCAGAAGAACGTGCAAGTGGTAGAAATGTATAGGCCCAGTTGAAGAATGCGACTGCGTCATAAATTTCAGTTGTCGACAAGTCGCCTGGCAGTGCAGTGCAGCAATGCAGAATTTGATGTGATTTATGCAATTTTAATTTATTATAGGTACTTTTTGTTAATCATTCATATTACAATTGCGAAAGGAAGAAATAAGAGGGATATTTGGTTTACTAATATTATTACAACATGGCATTTTGGAAACCTTTTGAAATGGAACAAAACGAAATTTACCATCAATATAATAAAATTGTTTGAGGACATAAATAATTAAAATATGTTGTTGGTCAAATGAACATATAATAGAAATTTTCTACACATTATATACAAATTATTATAATTTTTAACCTTTAGCAGAAAACTTTTTTAGGGGCGGCTATGAAACTCTTAAATTTTATTGCTCGGCATTTTTATACATGTTCAAGTGACTTCGGAAAGACTATAATTCTTTTTGTTGCAGTTATTATTCATTTACTATTAATACATATTATTTTTTATATTCGGTGCTGGTATGTTAATAAAAATACTAGTTCCAAGCGAGGCGTTGTTAAAAACTTTTTTGTTACTTTTCTCAACCTGTTACAGTCAAAATAGAACAGGTGTTATTTGTAACAAACTAATTAAATTATTTGGAAAAAGTATTTTTTCATGTTTATTAAGAGTCAAAGTTAGATTACACTTAGCTTTCGATATTTTATTATATGAGGTCTGATTATTGTCGTCACATAGCGAAGAAATTTTTTAATAGATTGTTACTTTACCTGATGGACTTTACTGGATGGATAAGGCATCTTCATTTTATCAGAATTAATTCAAAGTCCGACCAATCCCATCAATTAAAGGTAGATTATCCCTTAATTTTTAAGCAATTAGTTCCTTTATGGCAGTATACAGAAAATGGAAGAGTTTTTCTAGGAAGGTGACAATTTCTTTATTTGTATTTGTTTTAGTTGATTTTAGTAAAGTGTGTTAATTTAATATGATTCTGTTATAGGTTTATTTGTGGAATACATCAGACCTCTTATTAGGTAGTTGATAAGTGGCGGATCAGGATCACCGGATCAATTTTACCAGTCTTCGCAACTGATCCAAAGTATTTGATCCTCTACTAGAGCTTGCTGACATAGGGACATAATTTTTTGCCATTTTCTTCTGGAAATAATCATAATCCATTTAATAAATGTAAGTAAAGTCACGACAAAAATAATTCATCAGTATTTTGTGTGCGTTTAGGAAGAGTGTTTTAACACATACTAATATTTTTTAGATGCACACCGAACATTTGGCTTGTATTTTCTGTATACATACTGCAACTTATGATTTCAGCAATTTGTTTCACTCATTGAATGCAACTTTGTCATATATTTTTAATTTTCTGATTCTCATTACGAAAAAGTAATTTACTCCGTTGCGTGGGCGAAAGTAATACTATATCTACCTACCTGGATTATTTCTAGCTTAGTAAATTCTCCTGTTTTGTCATTAAATCTCGAAAATGTGGGTTTCGTTCTCGGACCGCATGGTCCCACACGTGTGGTATCTAAAATATGTGACAGGTGTCATTTCAAACTTATAAATTGTAGCTGGTAATAGTATTATTCTGCCACAGCAACAATAAAAATGTTTTAATAACGAAAATGCTGGTATTGTTATATATTTAAGATGCAGGCACATCTCTTTAATGCATAGATAAGACTATTCCCCTAAAAAATAAAAAGTAGTGTTTATTGAAGGTAAAACGAAAAACGCGTTTTGATTTTTTGGTAACAAAGCAAATTATCATTGATATTTAGAACATATTGTACAATTTGCTGGATTTTGAAAAGTAGGGGCAAAGGAGCAACGAAATTTAGTGCACAAATTGTCAAAGTGAAGATCAAACCGATAGAGCCTTTAATACAATCTAACAGAAAATATTATTGCACCTAATTTAGACTTACAGGTATCTACAATATTGATATTATATTTTAACAACTGTATGTATACTTAAACAGTACTTTTATCAATAAAATCACATCTGTTATCACATGTTACCATTTTTTATTTCTGCTCATTTTAAAGTTATATTATTAATACAATCAATTGATTTGTGGGCTGTTCCAGTCGTGAAAGAATACTTGGGCTTCTTAATTGTCAATATATTTTTAGAAATAACATTCTTCCGTTTATCTTTTCTTAGCTGTTACAGCAGCTACTAAGGCTGCCCCTATTCCACTGCCATCTTCCACTAATAAAAGCTCAAAGTCGTAGGTATCCCCGACTAACTCTTTAATTTTCTCCACCATCAAGTTATGGAAGTGTGGATGGAACTTATATACAGTACCGTCTATACCAACTGCAATCTGTTTTTCTCCAACTCTTTCCATCAGCACAACCAAACCAGCAGAGACCAGGTGGGCTGCTCTTCTCGTTATGCACGAGGCCACGTACCTCACATTAGTATGATCCTGTAGAGTTGCGTGAGTTAGACCTAACGAGTCACATATCTTTTTCACTTTGGAGTAATCACCCATCCTATCACGTTCTATATCGGAGACAGCGCTTGATTCCAAAGTATGACGCGTGTACAAGGCATCAGAACCTAACCCTTCAAACATTAATCCAGCTTTGGTGAACTTTTCAAGAGCTAGTCTTACAAGCTCACCCATGTACATACCAGAAATCATCTTTTCGTGTTTCTGTTTACCGGGATTTACTGAATTTGCATCAACATCTTCATCATAGGAAACTCTAACAAAATCCAATGCACCGTCGTCACCAAAAGCACCCCATTCTAAATTAATTATCACTTTTCCGGATCCCAAGTCAGGTTCATTAAAGAGTTCGGCATTTTCTTGTTTCTCAACATAACAACCATTTGTGCCTGTTCCCACAATTAGTCCGATTCGGGCGAGTGGATTCTTGAAAGCTGCCGCCACTAAAGTCCCGGTGGTATCGTTCAGAACAGCACTAACGTCAACCTTTATATCACCGTGTTTTTGTAATGCTGTCTGAAGCATTTCAACGACGTTGTTGCCAATAACTCCACTACAGGTAAAGTCTTTTGTCCACCTCTCTAGTATGCCAACTTTTAAGCCTTTCTGGACCAGTGGAAAACTGAAGGTAAATCCAAGAGGCAATGGTGCTTCTGCTAGACCTTGACTCTTGATAAATGTTACTAAGCAATCGGCGATGAAGTCGAATAATTGTTCCCCTGTTCCTTGCATGATGTCTTTCGGTATTGTATATACTTTAGTATGCACTGGATCTGGATCTCCCAGATCAACCATCAAGACCCGGATGTTGCTGCCTCCTAAATCTAGCGCTAAAAATTTACCTTTCTCCGTTCCATCAGGCAAATCTTGTACATAAGTGGGGAAACACTTGACTATTGCATTTGGGTTAGTGGCTTTGCCCAGACCTCGATTTATGTTTTCCCTAAATAACTGCATGTATGTCTGTAAGTGGTCATTGGTCATTACAAGTTCCTTGCACTCTTCTATTATCTCTGGAGAGACTCCTTCTGTAGATCCTGAAGGCCACAGCGCTGGGTTACATACTTTACTTTTACAAGAACGAGCCATTATAGCTGCGTACGAGAATTTTACTGTACTGTCAAATGAAAACTGACCTGTCAAAAATTTTATGGGCACGTCAAAGCAGTTGTCACCGGGATCCTAGTTAATAAATGGTTTGAAAGCAATCCATTATATTTATACATAAGTATCATAGAATGATTGTAATAACTATCTGTTGTACATAAAAGAGTATTTGTTAGTGTCTATATCTTTAGAGGTAGCTTGCAATAATGAACAGTACTTTGGGTTAACTCAAGGATAAGATCATAGAAACGAGTTTATTATACAATTATTATATCACAACTCAAACATAATTCGGTTTGTCGTTCATTCATGTTTGTAGCACAATTATGTTTTCGTAGTTTCAGGTACTATTAAAAATTGTTCTGCTATGTTATCCGACAAATTCCTATAAAATATTCGTTCAGTCCCAAATCTAGACTTCCTTCAAACATGCATAAGAGGATTTAGAACAGCAATGTATAAATATATTAATATCTGATCCCGATGTTAACTTTCTCTCAATACAGTCACAAACAGATTTGTAAAGTTAATCATAACTACACCTGTTGAGACATTCATATACAACATATCGGAGGTATTTTAGCAAAGGGGATTGACTGCAATAAATACAGTGACTGAATTTGAGAATCACTTGCCGACGTCCAATTAACTAAGCCTTTAAATCGAAATTTTGCCAACTTGGCTGAATTTTTGATATGAGTTAGTTTAAGGTATATTATAACAATAAGTGAGAGTAATTTTTTGTTCAACCCCCGGCCAAGGGTGGAAAAAGATAAAACAAAGGGCTTTTTCAAGATAACTCAAAAAGGGTAAGAGCTAGAAAAAAAAGTTTTTCATTAAAGTTGTAAAGCAGACAATTCTACATAAAAATGGTCGCTTAGCTTTTTCTTGTACTATTAAAATTAACAGAGTTAGGGAGGCTAGAAGTTAAGGGAAGATTTCAGAAATTTAAAAAAAATCATAACAAACAGAAAAATGATTGAATTTTGTAATTTTTTTTTTCAATCTGCTCTAAAATATGTAACTTTTCTTTTCAGAGAAATAGATATATTTTTTAATTTTTAATAAGAAAGTTATAACAAAAAATCAAATTTTTAATCGTTAATTTTAATGATTTAACAAAATTAAATTTCTGAAATCTTCCCTTAACTTCTAGCCTCCCTAACTCTGTTAATTCTAATAGTACAAGAAAAAGCTAAGCGACCATTTTTATGTAGAATTGTCTGCTTTACAACTTTAATAAAACTTTTTTTTCTAGCTCTTACCCTTTTTGAGTTATCTTGAAAAACCCCTTTGTTTTATCTTTTTCCACCCTTGGCCGGGGGTTGAACAAAAAATTACTCTCACTTATTGTTATAATATACCTTAAACTAACTCATATAAAAAATTCAGCCAAGTTGACAAAATTTCGATTTAAAGGCTTAGTTAATTGGACTCCTAGGCGGTATCTGTTTTGGTTTGGGTGAAACGTATATCCACGGAGATTTTTGGCTTTTTGGCTTTCAAGTATCACTAGGAATGAAAATTTTTTTATGCACATAAAAACAAACGTGGGCTTAACTTTTGGCGGCACAATATGTTTAACAAATTCGAAAAAAGCCATGTTTTTCTTCCTATTTAATTATGTATCTTTTCAAGAGTTGATTTTAGGCGAAAATGGAAGAGGAAAAAAATGTTTGTAATTAAATTTTACAACATATGACTAGTTACAAATCGAATGAATCATGATTATTAATGTAAAAATCGAAAAAATCGACAAAATTTGAGTTAAAATCATTATTTTTTAGGGAATTTTTTTGGGGTCTTTAAGTTGGGTATAGGACCTTCATATTTGGCTCAATAAAAGTTCATGTTATGTAGAATCATCACACCAAATTTCATCAAAATCGGTTCGATAGATATTGCATAATAATTTTGCAATCCAGATGCTGTGCAAAATTTTGAAAATTTGCCATTTTTTTTTTCAAGATCTGGATTGCAAAATTATTATGCAAAATCTATAGAACCGATTTTGATGAAATTTGGTGTGATGATTCTACAAAACTTGAACTTTTATTGAGCCAAATATGAAGGTCCTATACCCAACTTAAAGACCCCAAAAAAATTCCCAAAAATTTAATGTTTTTTGACCCCATTTTTGGCGAGTTTTTCGATTTTTACAATAATAATCATGATCATTCGTTTTGTAACTGGTCATATTTCATAAAATTTAATTACAAAAATTTTATTCCTTTTCGATTTTCGCCTAAAATCAACTCTTGAAAAGATACATAATTAAATAGGAAGAAAAATATGACATTCTTCGAATTTTTTAAACATATTGTGCCGCCAAAAGTTAAGCCCAAGTTTTTTTTTTATGCGCATAGAAAAATTTTCATTTTTAGTGATATTTGAAAGCCAGAAAGCTAAAAATCTCCGTGGATATACGATTCACCCAAATATGGACTTTTTGAAACAGATACCATCTGGACTATTGTACATATACTCTAATACAGTTGACGAACAGCAGAAAACATGATTGTATCCATCTGATATCAAATTTTTGAACTTTGTGGAAGTTTTCTCAAAACTTATCATCATTAAGTATTAAATTATAATTCAATAAGATACGGTAGAAATTGATATGATCGTTGATTTGAAGGTAGGCACAGTTTATACAACCCGGCTATTTCAGTTAAGAAATTCCAAATCCCGCAACGGCCTTAATTAACAGAGCGCCAGATTTAATGAGCTAATTTTTGTGATTAAAATGAATACGTGACCCTATTGCCACTGCACTTAACCCGCCAGTGAACGAAGTAAATCACTGTCAGTGTTGCCAACTACGAAGAGTGAAAATAATGGGAGAGCGTCATAAAATATTTGTAAGTAGCGACGCCATTCTGGATCTCTCGGTACATACCTTTGAGACCTTGGCATAAGTGGTTTTAGTTTCCTTTTCCTAAAAAAAAATCGGAACATGCGCTGAATATTAAGATATCTTCAAGGGGATTGTTTAAACGTAACTCCTGATCTATGTCCATCACATTAGTCAATAACATTAAAAGCGGAGTAAGCAGAGCCCGTGCTGGCGAGGAGATAAGAGAGCAAATCAAAGATCGAAGCTCACCGCGGCTTGACTGACAGGTCTGACCGTATCGCGGGGCGAAGAACGAGCCCAACTAGCCCGGACACCTGGGGCCTCCCGATAACATCTATCGGTTATAATTAATTGTGTTTTTATATTTTGTTTAATCATTCTATTAGAACCGATCTCGGACTGGTATGGTACAAAAAAAAATACAATGCGATCGAGCATTTTTTGAATGCCAGTGCAAAGTGTTTTTGATTAGAGATTAAAAGGTTTTCGAAAGGTGTTTAGAGATCTCGTTGTTGGCATCTCAGATGGATCAGATAGGTCATTAAGTTTATCCAAGCTTTCGGGCCGATACGTCAAGATGTCATGATTTATTTTGCCAAATGCCCAAGGTACTATGAATGACTAATAGTCGTTAAACAATATCGAAAAATGTAGATAAATGCTCGGGGTGACAGAAACGTTATCCGAACCTACAGCTGACAATAAGATTAAGATTCTAATTTTTAAATCAATACGAACATATAAATTACTTTGGATTGCACCCATACGTTGTTAAATGTTGTACAGAAAAGATACCATTGATCCCTTCTTATTTTATAAGAAATTAATATAGTGGATATAAAACCACTTGCTATTAAGTTACTTCAGTAACTAAATAAACATTTTTATTATAAAAATACGACACTTAATCTCTTAGAATGTTGTCACCGCCGTTACTGGTGCTGAAAATTCGAAATATTTGGAATTATTAAATTTTCGTGGCTGAAACATACAAAGGTACTGAATGTTCGCAAGCGAGAGAGCTGCAGTAACCAAATATGGACAGGACATAGCTAATACAATGCGAAACAGCGCCTTACTGTTAAAAATGTTGTCACCACCGTTACTGGTGGTGAAAATTGGAAATTGGAATTATATTATTACTTATTACTTATACTATTAATTCGTAATATTATAAGTATGTTTTTATACCACACATTTAACATTGTAGAATCTCAGAATCAAATAACATTTTTCTTTAAGTTTAAGTTAAATTGTCGTAGAAGTTTGTAACATGCATTTCAAAATGTGTTTTATGATAATAATTTGGTAGTGTTCTAAAAATTGATTTCTTTAACCCTTTTGATAAAATAACGTTAAAAAATACGTTAAACATTAACATTAAAGTTGTCCCATGTTTTCATTTCTAGGAAAGAGAAGTATGTACTGGAAACAATACACAAGAATCTTCGTCCAAGCACTATAAACTCAAAACTTTTCTTTCCCTAATAGTCCAGTCACTGAAAGCGAAAATTAGGTGAAAACTCCCAATTTTTTCGGATAGCATGGATTTTCCTGAAAATTTGCATACAAGCTCATCTGACCGCCCACTTCAAAAGTTATATTGCCTAGATGTGTGCTTTTTCTATTTGGGGGTGAAAACTACCCTTGTACGAAAAACAAGCTAAAATCGTAGATTTACGTATTTTAAATATTCAGTTCATGTTCAAATATGTTGGATAAAGTTATTTTCATGTCTTTTAATATGATTTATGAAATTTAAATACTTTTCAACCCTTAAAAATACTACCCTTCCAAGGCCAAAAAAATAGAAAAAAAAGTTTTTAACAGTTTAAAATATTCTTTTGGTGCATTCACAATGTATTGCATTTCTTTTGTTATTCATTAGAAAGCTTACGACTCATTACAAAGTTGCAACCCTTAAAAACCATCCCTTATAATAAAATAAACAAAAAAATATTATTGAAAGTTTGAGATGTTTTAATGGTAATAGCTAGGTAATAACTTTTGTAATTTTAAAGTTATAAATTTACTCAAAAAACCATTCTGCAGGGAATTTAAAGCACTTTAAGTTCTGTGATTTGCAGTTTTCTTGAGCCCTTCGTTTTTTAGATTTGTAAGC